TAGCCAGGCACAGAAGTTTTCAAGGAAACGTGACACTGGACCAGGAGGCCGATAGATCACTGCAATCCTCAGAGAAATTAGAGAAAACAGAGGAATACAGTGAAGAGAATAGAGAGGGAGGGGTAGGGAAGGACAAAAAAGGTGCTCAATGAGGATAGAAGCAAACCAACTCCACCACCTTTCCAACCACTGGGTTTGGGTGAGTTCAGTGGAGGCCTCCATGGTAGAGGCAGAGTCAAATGCTTGAAGCCAGGTTTCAGTAATTGCATGTAGGTTAAGGGACTGAGAGACAAAAAAAGTCAGACAGAGGTGAGCTTATTACAGACAGACCCGGCATTCTAGAAAACACATGAGCAGGGGGGTGGTATTAGGAAGCAGGGACATCAAGAATAAACTGGGTGGATTTTGGCTATTTCCAGAGGAATGAGGGTACCGGGTATGTGGTTGGTAGTGAAATACTGGAGGACCAGGGTTAGGGGAGATATCCCCAAAGATCAGAAGGAGGGTAAGGAAAGTAAGATGGGAGCGGGATGGGTATAAGTGCACATGCCTCCCTGTCCTGGTGTAAGGAATAGTAGAGGGGGCATATTAACCTCCTTAGCGGTATTCCCGAGTGTAGCCGTGCGGCGTTGCTCATGGAGTCCCTGCAGCACTTACCTTGTCCTTTGCTCCCACGATGCGTCCCCTGCAGCGTCCCTGGCCATCTCCTCTGGCATCCGGCTTCCGTGTTCTGGTCCCTGTGACGTCGGGACGTACGGGCACCGGAACCGGCGGCAAATTTGAAATTTTTTTAAAAATGTCATTTTTTTTAAAATGACTATTACATAGTAAAACATTGCTGTTTTAATGCATTTCACATACATTTTGTCCCGAGTGCTTTGTCCTGTCCCCTGCCTGCATTTTGACTGTTCTTTCTGCCTGGAAACTTAGAAAAGTCCATGGCGTCCAAAAAGTGTCCCTTTACGTCAAAAGCGGTTTTAGACCGGCTAGAGAACAGCGATAGTAAATCAGAACCACTTGCAGAACTGAGTGATAATGATTCGTGGGGGAAATTCCTCATCAGACACTGAAAACGATTCTGCGACTTTGCTCAGCGATGTGCGAATTTGCCTCTGTATTTCACATTTCAGTATTTTTGGTTTGATTATATTATTGAATTAAATTTTATTATTATATTATTATTTTTATGATTATTTATTAAATTATAATTTATGATTTTGTGTTTCAAATTTTATCATATCCGGAATGTTTACTAGACTCTTGTTCAGACAGATTTCAGTGAGTTATTCCTAAATATTACAGCCTACAATAAAAAACTACATATTTCCATGCAAACAAATGGTACCGCTTTCAGCACCAAAAATCGGAAAGAATCATACCGCCAGGGAGGTTAAAGGGTAGAGGGAGTAGGAATCAGACTTGTAAGAGATGCTTTAGAAAATGTTGGCTTGCTTGAGGTCAGTCCAGAATGGAGCAGAAGTCTCTGTTGCATCTTCTTAATGCTGTAGTTAAGCTACAAAAAAGATGCCCTGATTGTGATTTGCCCCTTGTCTGTGACCCCCCCCCATAAGCTGAGCTAAATTTAAAGAGAGATGGGGAAGGGAAGGATCCATCAACTAGGAGCTGATAAGAGACATATGAATTGAGGGGAATCTGTCAAAACCAGATCAGCCAAAGGCTGAAGTCATAAAAGATAATTAATTCTGGAATTACTGAGGTTGTTGGTTCAAATCCCAACCACGGCACCACCTGCCTGCAGTTTGCTTGTTCTCCTTGTGCCTGCGTGGGTTTCCTCCGGGTACTCTGATTTCCTCCCACACTCCAAAGACATGCTGGTAGGTTAATTGGCTCCTGTCTAAATTGTCCCTAGTATGTGTATGTATGAATGTGAGTTAGGGACCTTAGATTGTACACCCCTTGAGGGTTAGGGACTGATGTGAATGTACAATATATATGTAAAGCGCTGCGTAAATTGACAGCACTAGATAAGTACCTGAAATAAATAAATAAATGATCACAAAAGGCAAAAGGAATATCAATCACCACAAACATAGACAAGGTTTAACAGATGCTTTAGATCATTTACCATAATGATTGCAAAGGGTCAGCACAGAGCACTGAAATGGTGAACATGGAGTTTGAAGCAGCAGCATTTACGGGTGAAAGAGCAGAGAAGATATGATGAGAGCATGACTGACATTGCTAGAGGGTCTATTCATTTTGCTGCCACATACTGGGATGTATGACATCATTTGCCTAGGCATGGAAATCAGGAAGTAACTGAAGAAATGTAAACAAAACAGTTTAAAACATGTAAATATGATAGACTTGGCAATTGCCATTTTATTCCCCAGGGCCTCTGCTGTCAGAAAAAAATGTTTGGGGGTTTTTAACTAATCTTCAGACCCAAAAGGTGCTTGTTAACATGCATGAAAAAAATATGCAAAAACATCTCTGGCAGGGAAAGGGTTAATGTGAGCTAGATGGAATCACTCTCCTATGGTCATGCTCTACATTAAAGCTCCTCCTAGTTGTAGCCTGGTAATACCATTGCTGGGAGGTCTCATCATTTAGCCGCTACACATTTCTCATCTTTATACACTGCTCCAAAAAAAATGAAAGGAACACTTTTTAATCAGAGTCTAGTATGAAGTCAATGAACCTCCTGTGATATTGATCTGGTCAAGTAAGTCACAGAGGGGGTTGTTAATCAGTTTCAGCTGCTTTGGTGTTAATGAAATTAACAGCAGGTGCACTAGATGGGCAACAATGAAACGACCCCCAAAACAGGAATGGTTTTACAGGAGGATGCCACTGACATTTTTTCCCTACTCATCTTTTCTGACTGTTTTTCGCTAGTTTTGCATTTGGCTAGGGTCAGTGTCACTACTAGTAGTATGAGGCCATACCTGGACCCTACAGAGGTTGCCCAGGCAGTCCAACTCCTCCAGGATGGCACATCAATACGTGCCATTGCCAGGTTTGCAGTCTCCCAGCACGGTCTCAAGAGCATGGAGGAGATTCCAGGAGACAGGCAGTTCCTCTAGGAGAGCTGGACAGGGCCGTAGAAGGTCCTTAACCCATCAGCAGGACCGGTATCTGCTCCTTTGTGCAAGGAGGAACAGGATGAGCACTGCCAGAGCCCTACAAAATGACCTCCAGCAGGCCACTGGTGTGAATGTCTCTGACCAAACAATCAGAAACAGACTTCATGAGGGTGGCCTGAGGAGCTAATGTCCTCTAGTGGGCCCTGTGCTCGCTGCACGGCACCATAGAGCTCGATTGGCATTTGCCATTGAACACCAGAATTGGCAGGTCCACCACTGGCGCCCTGTGCTTTTCACAGATGAGAGCAGGTTCCCCCTGAGCATGTGACAGACATGAAAGGGTCTGGAGAAGCCGTGGAGAACATTCTGCTGCCTGTAACATGGTTTCAGCATGACCGTTTTGGTGGTGGGTCAGTGATGGTCTGGGGAGACATATCCATGGAGGGGGACACAGACCTCTACAGGCTACACAATGGCACCCTGACTGCCATTAGGCATCGGGATGAAATGCTTGGACCCATTGTCAGACCCTACACTGGTGCAGTGGGTCCTGGGTTCCTCCTGGTGCAGTGGGTCCTGGGTTCCTCCTGGTGCAGTGGGTCCTGGGTTCCTCCTGGTGCACAACAATGCCCAGCCTCATGTGGTGAGAGTATGCAGACAGTTCCTGGAGGATGAAGGAATTGATACCATTGAATGGCCCCCACGCTCGCCTGACCTAAATCCTATAGAACCCCTCTGGGATGTCATGTTTCGGTCCATCTGACACCACCAGGTTGCACCTCAGACTGTCCAGGAGCCCAGTGATGCCCTGGTCCAGATCTGGGAGGAAATCCCCCAGGACACCATCCGCCGTCTCATTAGGAGCCTCCCCCAACATTGTCAGGAATGCATACAAGCACGCGGGGGCCATACAAACTACTGAGGACCATTCTGAGTCTCTGCAATGACATTTCAGCACAATGGATTCGCCTGCTGCATCATTTCTTCACTTTGATTTTCGGGGTGTCTTTGAATTCAGTCCTCTGTAGGTCGATCATTTCCATCAAACGATGGGGTGTCCTTACATTCCTAACACATTACCCGTCCATGTCAGTATAGAGATCCAGCAGATTTCTCCCCATTGAGATCTGATGGGTTTTCAAAGTCTTCCTTTCATTTTTTGAGCCATGTATAAATGTCTCCTGATATTTAAGGGTCTGTTTATAAAAAATTACATAGCAATTCTGGTGAAAGTGCGTGTACATCCCTTCTGTGCAAATGGAGGTAAAAAAACAAAGAAACCAGGCCTGACATCGCAAACTAAAGGGTTGATAAAAATATAAAATTTGTTGGTCAAGTGTGATAAGCATTTGCCCATTTGTTATAGATTTGGTCTATTTAATTAATGTAGTGATTTCCTATGATAGTCAGCTCCATCTAGTGGCCATAATGGGGCATTTTTCTTGAAATGCCTCCATCAGGAAAAACTGATCAATACTGCATTATGGCCACAGATGGAGCCATTGGTCATAGGAAGTAATTTCATGAAATAAAAAACAATCCACATTTGTTATGGATGAGTGAATGTTGGTCCCATTTGTTTAACTATTTTTTTTAAAATAAACTCTTTAAGTGTTTGTGAAATCTTCCACCACAAAATGTACTCAGCCAATGAAATGTATTGTCTCCATTTTTATTCTCCTCCTGCTGTCAATGGCCAACCCGGTCCCACACTTCATCCACATCTTTGGTGACCTCTGATCTCCTTATGAACGGTTTCTTCCATGATGAAGATCAGCCATGGATTATATCTGAGGTGTATATCAGGGTGTGCTTCTTCCCCACGAGAGCTGGAATGTCCAGCAACATTCATCTAGAAGACATTTCCCGCACTAAAGGCACTATTACACCTCCAGGGTTGTGTGGGATCCCCTGATGTACAAGAAGACAGGACTTCAGTGAGGAAAATTTCCCTCACTCAGGACAGGAAAGTGGCTTCTCCCCCATGTGAGATTTCTGATGTCTGGAAAGACAGAACTTATCTGAAAAACATTTCCCGCACTCAAGACAGGAATACGGCTTCTCCCCCGTATGTGATCTCTGATGTGTGACAAGATCTGATTTTTGCACAAAACATTTCCCACACTCAGTACAGGAATGCGGCTTTTCGCCTGTGTGCAATCTCTGATGCCTGTAAAGACTGAACTTCTGTGAAAAACATTTCCCACAAAAAGGACAGGAATACGGCTTCTCCCCCGTGTGAGACCTTTGATGTATGACAAGATCTGATTTTTGTATACAACATTTCCCGCACTCGGGACAGGGAAATGGCTTCTCACCTGTGTGTAATTTCTGATGTTTGTAAAAATAAGACTTTCCTGAAAAACATTTTCCACACTCAGGACAGGAATATGGCTTTTCCCCCATGTGAGACCTCTGATGTCTGAAAAGATTGGCCTTCTGTGAGAAACCTTTTCCACACTCAGGACAGGAAAATGGTTTCTCCCCTGTATGAGACATTTGATGAGTGACAAGCTTTGATTTATCTACAAAATATTTCCCACACTCAGGACAGAAAAATGGAGTCTCCCCCGTGTGAAATCTCTGATGTCTGTAAAGATGGGACTTCTGTGAAAAACATTTCCCGCACTCAGAACAGGAATAAGGCTTCTCACTTCTCATTTCGGTTGGAAAGATGACCCGGTCCCACACAGTCTGAAGTTCCTCAGAATACGAGGAATCCAATGGTCCATCTACACTGGGTGGTGCCGGATGGACATTGGAGGGAGCCGGGTTTTCTCCTGGACTATACTGTGTGATGTCCTCATCTTCTACTTTCCAGTCTGGAGACAAAGTGAGACAATCCTCGGAGGTTTTCCTCATCTCCCGGCCATGGACTAAAATACAAAGACAAAGAGGATTACTAGACAGGAGCTGATTGGTTCCCCCAAACCAGGACTCCGCCCACATCAGGCAGCTTGGTCTCTGAGGAGCTTACAATTCCACCCTCAAGGGAACTAGGAAATGGCTCCTCTGATCTCCTACCAGGTCATTTCTTTATTCTTGGACCTTAGTCAGAGAGTGAGGAAACAACCAGAACTGTCTTTTATAGGAGGGACAGTGATGAGGGGATTATAGGACGAGGTCCCCCCACCCCCTCTATCACTCATCGCCATCTTCCCAACACAAGAAGTACTGCACTTCCTTATTTAGTCCATGATTTAGTCATGAAGAACAGCGGGGCTGAGCCCCACCAGAGGTCAGAGAGTGAGGATGGGGGGGAGAACAACCAAGATGAAGACTGAACTGATCCTGAAGACCACCATCATTGAGGTATTGACTACTCCCTCATTATCACGTTCTCTTCTCCATCTACACCTCCTCCCTTGGCCAACTCATACACTCTCATGGCTTCAACTACCACCTCTATGCCGACGACACACAAATCTATCTCTCAACCCCCCACCTCACCCCCTCAGTCTCCGCCCGAATCACAAACCTACTGTACGACATATCAGACTGGATGTCGCTCCACTTCCTTAAACTGAACCTCTCCAAAACCGAGCTCCTAGTTTTCCCCCCAGCCCAGACACCACCCCTCATTGACTTCTCCATCACATCCAACAACGCCACCATCAAACCCGCCCCGCAGGCCAGAGTACTTGGTGTCATTCTGGACTCCAATCTATCCTTCCAGCCCCAAGTCCAATCTTTAACAAACTCATGCAGACTCCACCACCGCAACATCGCCAAAATCCGCACGTTCCTAACCCCAGAAACTACTAAGCAGCTCATCCACTCCCTCATCATATCACGACTCGACTACTGCAACTCCCCTCCTCACTGGCCTGCCTCACCACAGGCTATCCCCGCTTCAGTCGATCCTGAATACGGCTGCCAGACTCATTCACCTTTCCAACCGCTCCGTTTCCACCACCCCCCTCTGCCAATCCCTCCACTGGCTTCCGATTGCCCAACGGATCAAATTCAAAATCCTAACACTGACGTACAAAGCCGTCCACCATACTGCCCCGAACTACATCACTGACCTAATATCCAAGTAACCGCCCAGCACGCACACTCCGCTCCTCACAAGACCTCCTTCTCTCTAGTTCCCTGGTCTCCTCCTCCCATGCCCACCTCCAGGACTTCTCCAGGGTGTCACCCATCCTCTGGAACTCCCTGCCCCAACCCATCAGATTATCACCTACTCTCCTCTCCTTTAGGTGCACCCTGAAAACACACCTCTTCAGGGAAGCCTACCCCACCCCCTGCTAACTTGCCGACCTCCTCCACTCTTCCTACCACCCCATCCCCCACAGCTATCTCCTCCTGTGCCACCATCCCCTCCCTCCTAGATTGTAAGCTCCAAGGAGCAGGGGCCCTCAATCCCCTCATGTTTTGCATTGTATTGGTATTGTTCTGTCACATGTTCTGTCCCCCTTTGTAATGTACAGCGCAGAGCGAACTGTTGGTGCTTTATAAATACTGTATAATAATAATAATCACTGAAGGATGTTATCACATTATTATCGACATGTAAAAGTCTGTGCTCCAATCACATCATCAGATATAAAATGTCCCCTTGCGACACAGTGGGTGTAAAAAAAAAAATAATCCATATTATGTTTATATATAGCAGTGGGTGGAGGGTTAGAATAGCAGAAGTCAGGACTATGGAATGTACAACATATTGTATAGGTTACAATAATTAGGACTATATGGTATCAGGAGTATGTAAAGTACAATAGAGAGTATATAATACAAGGGTCAGGACTATGTAACTTTCAAAAAAGACCTCAAGATCTTCAAGGTCTGAAGAAGGAGCCTATTGAGCATGCTCCGAAATGCATTACCGCCCCTTTCACCTGCTACATCTGACTCTGCTCTCCAAGCTTCATTTTTGATGCACAGGTACATCCTGGACTCTACTTCCTGATCCTATAGGCATAGCTTGCTGCTGGACGGCTGGATGTCTCGCCGGGATCCAATTACCACACAATGAGCCTTTTTAACCGTTTATCTTGTAAGTGCAAATTTTTCCATTGTCTACTAATAAATTGTTAATACTGCACTTAGAGGCGCCTTCCTCTCTTTTCTTGTCACAGTACAGGGAATGACCAGAGACTGCGGACACAGTACAGGAGATGACCAGAGACTGCGGACACAGTACAGGAGATGACCAGAGACTGCGGACATAGTACAGGGGATGACCAGAGACTGCGGACACAGTACAGGAGATGACCAGAGACTGCGGACACAGTACAGGAGATGACCAGAGACTGCGGACACAGTACAGGGGATGACCAGAGAGACTGCGGACACAGTACAGGAGATGACCAGAGACTGCGGACACAGTACAGGGGATGACCAGAGACTGCGGACACAGTACAGGGGATGACCAGAGACTGCGGACACAGTACAGGGGATGACCAGAGAGACTGCGGACACAGTACAGGGGATGACCAGAGACTGCGGACACAGTACAGGGGATGACCAGAGACTGCGGACACAGTACAGGGGATGACCAGAGACTGCGGACAGTACAGGGGATGACCAGAGACCGCGGACACAGTACAGGGGATGACCAGAGACCGCGGACACAGTACAGGAGATGACCAGAGACCGCGGACATAGTACAGGAGATGACCAGAGACCGCGGACACAGTACAGGAGATGACCAGAGACTGCGGACAGTACAGGGGATGACCAGAGACTGCGGACACAGTACAGGGGATGACCAGAGACTGCGGACACAGTACAGGAGATGACCAGAGACTGCGGACACAGTACAGGAGATGAGACTGCGGACACAGTACAGGAGATGAGACTGCGGACACAGTACAGGAGATGAGACTGCGGACACAGTACAGGAGATGACCACAGACTGCGGACACAGTGCAGGAGATGACCACAGACTGCGGACACAGTACAGGAGATGACCACAGACTGCGGACACAGTACAGGAGATGACCACAGACTGCGGACACAGTACAGGAGATGACCACAGACTGCGGACACAGTACAGGAGATGACCACAGACTGCGGACACAGTACAGGAGATGACCAGAGACTGCGGACACAGTACAGGGGATGACCAGAGACTGCGGACACAGTACAGGGGGATGACCAGAGACTGCGGACACAGTACAGGAGATGACCAGAGACTGCGGACACAGTACAGGAGATGACCAGAGACTGCGGACACAGTACAGGAGATGAGACTGCGGACACAGTACAGGAGATGAGACTGCGGACACAGTACAGGAGATGAGACTGCGGACACAGTACAGGAGATGATGAGACTGCGGACACAGTACAGGAGATGACCACAGACTGCGGACACAGTACAGGAGATGACCACAGACACAGTACAGGAGATGACCACAGACTGCGGACACAGTACAGGAGATGACCACAGACTGCGGACACAGTACAGGAGATGACCACAGACTGCGGACACAGTACAGGAGATGACCACAGACTGCGGACACAGTACAGGAGATGACCAGAGACTGCGGACACAGTACAGGAGATGACCAGAGACTGCAGACAGTACAGGGGATGACCAGAGACTGCAGACAGTACAGGGGATGACCAAAGACTGCGGACAGTGCAGGGGATGACCAGAGAGAAAGTAAAGGAGATTACCAGAGACTGCGGACCTTTGGGGAAGGGAGGGGGAGCGGGTACCCGAATTTACCCGCTCCAATTTCCGCGGAGTTGTCCTTCCTTCTTCCCGCGGTGGCTTCTATGACAGCCAGATGCCCACATGCGAATGTGCGAGAAGCGCTGCGCTTTGTGAATGCCCCGGAGCCTTCTGGGACCTGTCATGTGTCCCAGAAGTCACCAGACCATTCACAAAGCGCAGCGCTTCTCGCCCATGCGCAGTTGGCACCCGGCTGTCACAGAAGCCAGGCGCGGGAAGATTGCAGCTCTGGAGCGAGGAACAGGTAAGGTCCTGCAGGAGAGAAGAGCTGATTGGCCGGCCCCGGTATTCTGACATGGTGGCGGCATTAAAATACCGGACCGGCCGCTTTACATTCGCTCCATAAGACGCACTGACATTTTCCCCCCTTTTTTGGGGGGGGAAAAAAGTGCATCTTATGGTGCGAAAAATACGGTAGTTAGTCTGGCTGAAAAAAACACAAAAGTCCATCCAGTTCAACCATTAAAAAAAAGTTATAATCCGACACCCACAGTTGATTATTATACAAGACACTATAGTGAAGACTACATAGTATCAGAAGTATGCAGTGCACATGTATCGACCTGCCCCCCCGGTTGGATAAATGTAGTTTTTGACTCTGCTGTACTCAGTGGAGCAGCAATCTATTTTCTATGTCTGGTCAGATCTCCCAAAGTCTGGTAGTTGATTGCTCCAGCCTGACTCTGGAAGAACATTCCAGAAATAGGGTAGGAAGGTCATCCATTGGGTTATGAATATTTATCTCACTGCATCCAATCCCTGGGAGGGGGATCCCAGAAGGTGGCTGGGGAGAAGATAAATGTTTTGAGAGGGCTTTTCAGAGCTCTCTCAGTCCTGGGACCTCTGTCCTGGGAGGCAGCCTGTGTTACTCAAGAGCTGTTGTTGTCAGGCCTCAGCCTGTGCTTGGCTTATGACCTGACAGAACCTTGATGTTTTCTGGAGGACACTACCATGGTACCTGGGCTGGCAGCCTCTGAAACAGGTAAGGGAGACCTTTTTATTTCAAACAGCCCCTCTGTTGGTGAGCACTACATACCATAGAGTATAAAGTGCGGGGCTTAAGACTACTTAATGTGCAATATAAATCATACAGTGTAATGGTCAGGACTCGTAATATTGGTTTTCAGTAATCATTCAGTAGTCTAAATGTTTACTTAACTGAGACAAGTTGCAGAGGTCCCACACCGCTGCCTCCCATCTCCTGAGACTGCACTCAGTGACTTGGGTCTGAGACTATACAGACATATCCCTCCACCCGGCACAGCCAGCAGACTACAGAGCAAGGAACCCTGGGAGAAATGTTCTGTCAGAGATCTTATTAGAACTGGGCATGGAGAAGAAGACTCAAGACACATGCCCCAAGTGCCTAGGCTGAGCAACGAGCGTGAAGAAAATCAACATTTCTCTATTAGCTGAACCCCAGAATCTCCATAAATCCAGTCTAGATACATAAATTGTGTCTGCAGCACAGAGAAGGAAGATTGTTCAAGAAAAATACAGGATGAGGAATTCAGTTTAAGAAAATGACCAGTGTATTACAGGATAGTATAGCCTAGTCCCTGTCCTACTTAGTGAGCAGTATGGGTGGAGGAATGGATTTAGTGTTCATGACCCACCTGTGCTGATCTCTGTAGGAGTGTCCTCCTCTATAAATGTCCCCGTTATTCCATCCTCCTCCATAGACTGCTGATCATCCCTCACATACGCCTCTTCTTCTTCTGATTTAATCTCGACATTTAGAATCAATCAAATTATCTTCCTGTGTAGAATTCCAGGAATATAGGAGGAAGGGGACATCTCTCTAATGCTTTTCTGTAGATGAATGACTCCATCATGGTGTTCGGCCTAGGTACAGATCTTTGTGTCCTTTTAGAAACTCCGACTCCTCCATCACCCCATCCTCATCATCCTCCTCTTTATCTCTTTTTTTAACATCAACACTCTGAATATATAATAAAAATGACATCAATGGTAACAATGCAGATAATGTACAGATCTCCTAATGATACTATCAGTGATTGTTCCTCATCTACCTGATGATGGTGAGGGATGGTGTGATCTTCCTGTGTGGAATACGAGGAATGTCAGAGGACGGGGACAACTACTCTGGGTGGGTTCCCATAACTAGATCCTTCTACTGATGATGGTGAGGGATTTTGGTGTGACCTTGGTCCCTGTGTGGAATCCCGTGGAATACAGAGGACAGGGACATCTCTCTGGTGGGTTCCATGACTGGATCCATCTACTGATGATGGTGAAGGATGGTGTGACCTTCCTGTGTGGAATCCCGGGAATACAGAGGACGGGGACATCTCTCTGGTGGGGTTCCCATGACTGGATCCATCTACCTGATGATGGTGAGGGATGGTGTGACCTTCCTGTGTGGAATCCCTGGGGAATACAGAGGACGGGGACATCTCTCTGGTGGGTTCCCATGACTGGATCCATCTGTAGGAAACACACACACTGACTGAATCCATTGTTTCTATGTGTTTATCAGATGATGGGGGATCTAGGTGGATCCTCCGTACTGCTCTCTCCTTTACAATAAAGTCTCCCTCTTACCGGTGATGTGGGGGCGGCTGAAATTTGTCCATCATGAAGTCCTTGTAGAGATCCTTGTGTCCTTCTAAATACTCCCACTCCTCCATGGAGAAATAGACGTGACACCCTGACACCTTTATAGGAACCATGACATCTACACAATTGATACAGTCACCATCCCAGACACATCCTTGTCTGTTTACGGAGAATGTCCCAGAATTCCCGGCACCGCTCACCTCTCTCCTGTCAGCAGCTCCATCATCTTCTTGGTGACTTTATGAATCTTACTGCATGTTGTGTCTCTCAGGTTTTAGGGAGTTCACATGGATGGCACTGTGATGGCCATTCCATGATCACCTGACTTCGGAACAGGAAGTCTCTGTATTAGAAAACTCAATAGAAATTATCATGTTAGAATCCCAGATCCCTATCTTCCCTGGTCAGATCTGTATTTTATTAATAGAGATAAGAGTGAAGTCATGTGACCCATACTCCAAATCCTCCTCACCTCTCTGGTCAGTCTGTGTTTTATCAATAGATATAAGAGTGATGCATGGAATTTTCCCAAAATCCTCCCCCTCTCTTTTCTGGTCTGTGTTTTATTAATAAAAGAAGAGAGTGAGGGCCCGTGACCCCCAAATCCTCCTTTACCTGTCCCCTCAAACAGGTAGAAAGATCTCCAAAGGGGGAGGTTTAGAAACCCCTCAATCATGTGACTCCAGTCCTTTCCCCCATCTTCCTTTTGGCAAGTAGGGTTTTTTAATTTGACAGACAAAATTTAACTGGGCTGTATTGGTTTTACAATAATTTGAATAGGATTTCAGGGGAAAAAATGGG